TGACCTGGGTGTTCTGGTGGGAATGTGGGAGTGGTGGTAGGGTCAGGAGCATCAGTGGTGTGGAAGGTGGGAGGCAGAGGATTCCCAGGAATTTTTGAGATTGGGACGAGCCTGAAGGTATCCTGAAAGTGCTCCTGAAAATCTGCTGGAAGTGCTCCTGAAAATGTGCTGGAAGTGTGAAGTGACCTGGATTTGGTGCTGGGAATGTGGGAATGGGGGTGGCACAGTCAGGGTCTGTGGCAGGGTCAGGTGCATCAGTGGTGTGCAGCGTGGGTTTTGCTGGGAAAGCAGAGGATTCCCAGCAATTTTTGGGATTGGGATGATCCTTAAAATGTGCTGGAAGTACAGAGTGACCTGGATGTTCTGGTAGGAATGTGGGAATGGGAGTGGCACTGGCAAGGTCTGTGACAGGGTCAAGGGCATCAGCAGAGTAGAAGGTTTTTTGGGATTGGGATGATCCTGAAAATCTGCTGGAAGTCCTCCTTAAAATGTGTTGGAAGTGTGAAGTGACCTGGATTTGGTGCTGGGAATGTGGGAATGGGGTTTAGTGGTGGCACCCCGGGCCTTGGGATCATCAGGGAGGAGTTGGATGGAACAGGACACAGGGAATGGCTCCCACTACCAGAGGGCAGGGGTGGATGGGATTTCGGGAAGGAATTCCTGGCTGGGCTGGAATTCCCAGAGAAGCCGTGGCTGCCCCTGGATCCCGGGAATGTCCAATGCCAGCTTGGAGCACCCTGGGATTGTGGAAGTGGCCCTACCCTTGGTAGGGGTGGAATGGGGTGGGATTGAGGTTCCCTTGCTCCCAGCCCATTCCACAATTCCATAAAAGTTGGGAAGACCACGCCAGGAATTCCTCCGCCAGCTAAAACCGTGGAATTCTGGATTTTATTGGAAAGGACCCAACCTCCTCCTTCCCTCTTAACCTCCAACAGCATTGATGGAGCTCCCGGAATTCTGGGGTGCAGAGGAGGACTTTTCCCCTCATTCCAACGCTTTTTCCATGTGTTTTTTTTCCGGGCAGGAGTTCCTCTCTCCACGCAGTGGGGCCCTCAGGGCTACTTCTACCCCATCCAGATCGCCCAGTACGGGCTGAGCCACTACAGCAAGAACCTGACGGAGAAGGCGCCGCACGTGGAGGTGTACGAGACGGCCGGGGACGGCAGCGGGAGCGGGGAGTGGAC